TATTTTATGAATAATTGAGTGTGTAATCGAATACGAAATGACATGCAAACAAACATCCCGGTCGGCAGACAGTCAGTCATAGACAACCAACCAAATACATACATATGTATGCACATGTGACACCAGTTAAAAACACACCCCCAACTGCTGCCTGTCAGCAAAGTCATTCATAACTATGAGTGCAATAAATATTGGTATTATACAGCGAGCAGTGCAACCCCTTCTCCAGCGGCCTCCCCCCCCACACAAGTATACATTCAAAGTGAATATGTATGTATGTAAATGTAAGTGCATTTGTATGTTTATGTTGCAGTGTAAGATGTGACAGCATAAAGGAGTTATTCATTCATTCATTCATACATATATTTGTATGTATGACTAAGAGTTGTCTTTGATCTTAAAGAGTGCAATAAATGATATGCTGCGCGATAAAAGTCAGCTCCAATTTGTTTAGTGACGTGTTAGTGCCAATAACCCATAGTAATCTACACTGCTGCATGCATACATACATACATATTTACTTGCACATGCGCTTGCTTACATACAGTCTTACATATGTACGTATCTACATTGCGCACCATAAATAATCGCACATTAAACTGCGTAAATTACTCATACGCCTCGTTGTGCCGCAAAGGCGTAAAACAAATAAGTTACATACATAGTTATTTACATACATATGCATGTAATCGACCTGCGCGACTGTTGCAATTGAAACAACATGCGATGCTTTTAATTGAGTAAATTTGTACAAAGCGTTTGTTGGAGCATACATATGTATGTATGTGAATGTGTAATTGTAAAAAGAAAAATAGGAATTATAAAATGCCTAATGACATTTTTACTGTTGACAGAAATCAAAGAAATATCGAGGAATTAGCATGGGAATTGTTATTGCTATAACTAATGCATTGAAATGACGAAAAATTTGTGCCATTTAAAAAAATTGTATGTGGAAACAAATTTAATGTCAATTTTTCTTAACGTTACGGCACAGGTATTTTTTAATGCCCAACTTTGTGATTGAAATTTGAATACTTTACAGGGAAACTATGGCAAATGTCTTTCAACAATCTTGGAAGCTGTTTTCTGTCTTAGCTTTTTTCTGTTTTTCTTCTTTTAGCAATACGTTTTATAAAAATTTAATAAAACAGAAAAAGTATATTTTTCTTTTTGGAACACTTAAAATTAAAAACAGAAAAAAACTTTCATTCAAAAAAATAACAATAATTAAAAAAATAAAAATAAAAAAAATAAAATTAATTGAATCTAACAAAAAAAACTTTTCTTTTTAAAATAATATTTACAAATAAAATAATCCAAATATGTTTCTTTTTAAAAACATACAATGTAAAAATTAAATTAAAGAAATAAGTTTCTTAAACTTAAAAGAAAATAAAAAATATATACATATGTAAGTATACAGATCACTCGTTCACCCCCACTAAAATAGATAAAATAGAATAAATGTTTTTTATTGAAAACCGCAAAAATTTGAACTACCAATTTGGGGATGATCTATTTTATTACCGACTATTTCCGACTTCCGGTGTTGTAAATTTTATTTTAAACATTTTTCTCGGAAGTGTCTTTTTCAAAGCCTAAATGACCTTGGAACTTCAACTCGTCCTGGACGTCTAAAATGGACGAACATGTTTTTATTGGAAAACGACAAAATATGAATAACCAAGTCGGGGACGCTCTATCTTTTGGTAGAATGTATTACCAACTTCCGGATTCGACCGGAAGTCCGTTTTGTCCGCAGAATCCGAATCTGTAAGAAAAACATGCAGCTCCTATTAAAAAAAAATGGACTTCCGGTCATTTAAACACACATCCGGGCGAAACCGGAAGTCGCTAATACGATCACAAGATCTTTCAAATTATCTTGCACGAGGCTTATTTGAGCGCTTGTAACGCACTTAAGCGCGCTGCCCTGAGAGTACTTTTCATTAAACCGACATATGCCAGCAGTGGAACTACTTATCAGCGAGTCTGAAATAACAACTGGTGCGATGAGAAATGACACACCGCTGCAGATTAAAAAGTCACAAGGCCGCACCACGATCGGGCGCAACGCCAGCCATTGACGCCAGCAACCGTGGGATCAGTCTTCTAAATATTTGCTAAAAGCTCTTATTGAGGGTATTGTGTGAAAAGCTGAAACACACCTTCAACGAACTTACTGGGCCCTGAAGTGTTCGGGAAAAAGTTGCAGCGGAAGATTTAAGGGCTTTTGTGCATTGGCGACGTTGAAGCTATGAGCTGTTTGAGCTTTTTAAGCTAATTAAAATACAACGGCTCCACTGGCTCGGCCATGCCGTACGGATGGACATAAACACTCCAGCTCTGAAAGTATGCAAAGCGGATCTCCCTGCTAGTAGCAAGTAGATGCAAAGTCCATATGGATAAGGATTTGATTTCACTTGACATTTCCAATTGGCGTCAACTGGCGCAGAAGAGAAACGACTGAAGTGCTGTTTTAGACTCAGCCAAAATCATTTAGGCTATTACAGCGCCAACCAAGAACAAGAAGAATCTGATAAATCATGTAGTACATTAAAGAAATTAATTTCACCATACGAATCGAAAAATCTGTGAATCTCTTTGCAAATGCACCAAACGTCAAATTTTTGTGTTTTCAAAATTTATTAAATTATTGCATTTAGTTTAATGCATAGTAAGCACTCTGGATCTTAGCAATCCAGTCGATGTATGCAGAGACACGTGTATAGACCGATGGTAAATTGTAAACACCACATGGAGTGTATCCCCAGGATACAATACCGATAAGTTCAGATGGTGCGCCATTGATTTCCTTCGCCAGAGGACCACCAGAGTCACCGCTGCATGCAGATATGCCCTTCTGCAAGGAATCTGAGCAGACATTGGTTTCGTGGAGAGGAGCACTTTGAGGCAGAGTTTCCTTGCACTCGTTCCACTCGACGACCTCAGTTTGAACTGTTTGCAATATCTGGGCTGCAGCAGATATGTAAGGATTTGGTCGTCCCCAACCATAAAGATGAGTCTCTCCGCTATGGATCTCTTCTCGGTGTGGCAAGCTTGCAGGTTGTACTCGTTCGTTGAATTCAAAGGGCTCGGAGATGTGTAAAATGCCAATATCGTAAGGTCCCACACTACCGCTGTAACTTGCGTGAACTCTACCAAAGTCAACTACACGTGATTGTGTATTCTCATCAACTTCAGTGCGGTTATGAAGACCAGCAATAACTCCCATTCCAACGGCAGTAGAAATGCAGTGACCGGCAGTTAAAACCCAGTCCTTGGCAATAATTGTGCCACCACACTTGTGAGAATGACTGCTAGCATTGGAACTCAACGATACAATGTAAGGGGCAGATTGTGGCTCAGCATCTTCGCCGTTAATGATATAGCCGGTGGCAAAGCTGGGAATTAGATTCTTGAATTTGTCAGTAAGAGCCGATGCGTTGGCACACGCCAGGAAAAGAGCAAACAAGAAGAGAACCTTCATGTTGGCGAAATAAATTTTAACTATTTTTTAAATGAAAAAGGAAGGCTTTTTATATGCATACAAACAAAAAGTAAATTACCAATCACTATGTATTAGACCAATGATAATGTATATTGTTTTAACTTATCGAATTATGAAAGCACGATGAAATAGCTGATTATTCTAAAATTAATCCGCTATGTGCAGATGATTTGTGGAAGTAATAAACTAGTTGCGATTAGCTTCTTATCCGAAAGTATGCTTGTACTCGTACAAGAATTTTGGGGAATTAAAATAACGGCTAATGAAACCGATTAGATTTACGCTGTATCCCTGATTAGAGTAGTATTTTCCAAAAAAGGAGGAGGTTATCAGTTCGTCGGAATATTTTTTTTTTGTGTATGTTACCGCATAACTTTGGACCACGTCAACCGATTTCGATAGAGAATCCTCAACTTGGTAGATCAAATATTTACGCTTTTCAATAAAAAAAAACACCTCCCTCCATTTTTATAACAATCCCAACGGTTTTTACCCTCCATCCCCGCCCAACCGCACAAGGGGCGCAGTCCGCATGACGTACGGAACCAGTCAGTATTTTCAATTTTTGCTCCGAGTCACGATAGGCAGGAGTTTGTTAAGTGTCGATATCTAAAACCGTTCAGCTACAAAACTAAATTCATCAGCCGATTTTATGTCTTTATTTTAATGATTCATTTATTGAGAGAGAACAGTATCGATTTCTTAATGCTAACCGGCTAAATCGCCAAAAAAAACCGGCTAAAAACGGCTAAGATGTTTCAACTAAATTTCACATGTTTTCTTTAAATAAATCACGAGTAAAAATACTAGGGGTATTCTCCAAATCTTGCAAAGCCATTGCACGTAGCACGGAT